TCTGGACCAAACAAACTGAAAAACCTTTGTATCAGCGCCCAAAATACAGTCCGAAATTTAACGTGTGGGTGGCATATCTGTGGTTAGGGGCAACGCCCCTCTGTGAATTTGAAGGGAATATGAACACTGAGCGGTACACAGATATTCTCGAGGGACATTTACTTCCATCTGCTCACGTGTTCTATGGAAAGTTTTTCCAGCAGGACAACGACCCAAAACATCCTTCAAAGCATTCACAGGTCTGGTTTCGGTGCCAAAATATGACATTATTAGATTGGCCAAGCTATAGCCCTGACCTAAATCCAATAGAAAATGTTTGGGGACTTATGAAGGAAAGTGTCAATAAGAAACATCTGACAAATATTGCTGAAATGAAAGAAGAGGTGGTCCGATATTGGGACAGCATGGACCACGACTTTCTAACTTCTTTGATCAGTAGTATGCCCCGCCGCATTGAAGCCTGCATTGCTGCCCATGGTGACTTGACAAAATACTAACTGTTCACCTGTCTTTGAATCTGGAGTTATGTTCTGCTAATATTCACATTTAATACGTGAGTAATGAGTGAAAAAAATACTAAAAATTACAATCTTAAATTCTCAATAATTTCTGGTTGTACTGTATATATGTATGGTAACATCGAAGATGAATTTCTCCACTAACTTGGTGAAACCAACTGAAAACCTTATGCAGATGAATTGCACGAGGATCATGCATCAAATTGCTGTAAAGCACGTGTAAATATCACGCATGTGAACAGATGCGTTTTGGTGTACAGTTTTGTTACGAAGTCGTCAATTTTCACTGAGTTTCATCATTTAATGAACTCATGACAAAAATCTTTTCAACGTTACAATTGTGTTTTACAATACATCAGTTCATGTGTAAACAGTACCTTTAAACAGTATGGAAAGTTTTGCAAAATTTCTTTTAGAACAGTTGACTTAAGTAAATGGCTACATTTACACTAGTGAGTCTTAACTTTTGATGGGGAGTATAGAAGTGACAAAACCGTTTCTACATCCATAACAATCTCTGCTGAAAGAGTCGATTGTACAATTCCGCAATATTATGAGCATGATTGAGTTTGTGAGGTTTTCGTGTTTGCTTCACGCCTCACACGGCAATATTACAGCTGTTTTAATGCAAATCTTCCAGTCTGGACCAGACAATCAATCAAATAGTGATGAATCTGAGGCTCATCAATCATGGTCAGGACTGGAACCTGTTGAAACCATCTGCTGAAACCTTTCTTATTTCTCGGATTCTTCTCTTCGTTTTTGTAAAAAGATGCCTACAGCACTGGCCACGTGGTCAGTCCACAATCCACAATAATATCATGTAGTTTATCAACTTTTTGCCTCAGTGGTAGCTGCAGAAAGTATTCTTGATCATTTCCATGGTTACAACTTGAACTTCTCTGAACCTGGCAAAGGGAGGAGTACCATGGTAATGAGAGAGTTGGGCTTTACGCCGCTTTTAGCAATATTCAGCAATAACACGACAGAGACATTAGAAATGGGGATTCGCACATTGTACCCATGTAGGGAATCGAAATCGGGCCTACTGCGTGACGAGCAAACGCCATAACCACTACGCTATCCCCCAGCCCCTATTCGAGGATGATGAGTGAGTTTAGTTTTACGCCACACTCAGCAATATTCCAGCTATATTGCGGCGGTCTGTAAATAATCGAGTCTGGACCAGACAATCCAGTGATCAACAGCATGAGCATCGATCTACGCACTTGGGAACCGATGACGAGTTTCAACCAAGTCAGCGAGTCTGACTACCCGATCCCGTTAGTCGCCTCTTACGACAAGCATGGGTTACTGAAGGTTCATTCTAACCCGGACCTTCACGGGTATATTCGAGGATGAGGAACAGACTATTAGAGATAGTCTCAAAGAGTCTCTGGTTCTTACGGCAATGTCAACTATGCCTACAACGATTTGGTGCCAATCATATTTCCAATTTGGTCACACACTCACCTTCGTGAGTCGAGGCGGTGAGGTAGCCTTGTTGCCATAGCGTTCGCTCGTCACGCCGAAGACCAGGGTTCGATTCCCCACATGGGTACAATATGTGAAGCCCATTTCTGGTCTCCTTCGCCGTGATATTGCTGAAATATTGATAAAAACGGTGTAAAACTAAACTCACTCACTCCTTCGGAGTTCAATTCTCTGTCACTCCTCTAGTGTACTGTTCATAGACGTTGAACGCATATGTGCGTTTGCACGACTGTTAAAATATAATAATCGCGCGATTACGAATAAATCGCACCTCAGAAGAACCAGGGGCGGTGAGGTAGGCTAGTGGTTAAAGCGTTCGCTCGTCACGCCGAAGGCCCGGGTTCGATATCCCACATGGGTGCAATGTGTGAAGCCCATTTCTGGTGTCCCCCGCCGTGATATTGCAGGAATATTGTTAAAAGCGGCGAAAAACCAAAACTCACTCACTCACTCAGAAGAACCAAACAAACACAAGTATCCATGCTTTCCAACGAGAAGGCTGCGATAAGTTCGCCTGTCGGTTGCCATGAAGTAACGTTTGTTTTGAAGAGTAGTGTATTGTAGACACGAAAATGTATCGTGCATTTTGAAATTCAGCGACTAGATTGCTTATTCATAAAATACGATAGCGAGGTGTTGGTTTTAATGTTCAAGCATAAAATAAACTGTCAAAATTATTCTCATCATAAGGATTCGCAGTTATTAAATGTGTAAAACTGTTGGTGCGTGTCCTTTGTTCGTGAATACAAATGCCTTTCAGATATACTCATCACAAGGACATGGAATGACTATCATATCTTACACGTGTTAAGTGTATATTTGAAAAGCTTATCACGTACAGGCTGCTACATTTTATGCACTCTCCCTTTCGTGTTTATTAAATATTCATAAGTATTTACATGTGCACATGTCCTTTGTCAGCAGAGACGAGTTGAAAGTGATACACATGTCAATCATAAAAGGTGATGCCCCGTGGTTGGTAATTCCATTGCTGTGCTCATAAAGACTTTCCTGCAGTGTTTAAACTATATTTCTTTATAAGATTAAAATATGAGGTATTAATTAAAAGTTAACATCCTAAAAGAATACAAAACAGGGGGCATATGTAACTATTGTTTAAATATCGTTTCTATAGTTGCCGTGACAAGTTTCAAATTTGAAGTTCGCACGTTAATGATTATTTCCTTTCATAGGAAATTGTAATTTGGGTTTCTTACAAATAGGCATGTAATACTGACTCTTGCCGTACAAGCTATGATCTGTATTCTCTATGTCCTTATGAACACACATGTGGTATTTTCTTATAATTCTTAGCAGAGCATGTTTCTTACATACATTTCATATAGTATGGGAAACAGAAATGCAAATTAAAGCCCCTTCCATAATGACCCAAAACGTCGGTTAAAAATCTAACAGAAGAACTACTATTAATACAGCAATATTACTGAATTCTGTGAACCACTGTCATCCCAAGTATGAAACACATTTTCAATTTCTTATTTTGAGCTGTATATTCTTGTGTCTTTCCGGGTGAATGATTGATGTGCCTTTGCGTGTGTTTGCGACGGGGAGGCAACTGTGGCACAGAATGCAGTTACCTTCTCTCGAACACCTGATACAATTACTATCGATTGTAGTTCAAACAGTTACATCCTTGTAGTTATGACATTGTTAGAATCATACAATAGATTCTACTTTTAGTAGATATTTCTCATGAATGTAGAATTTGTATTTTTGTGCCTCTTATATTTCAAAGACAAAATTCAAACCTTGCAATATTTCATCATTTAGGGTAAAAGGAAGCTTTGAATCTCGTAATAACGATATTCATTCGGGATTTTCTTTTATTTCAAATTCTTTATATTACGGGATTGGAATGGTCCTATTTATTTATTATTTAAACAATTGACCAATAACAGCACAGTACAAATACTGTTTTTTCATCAACCAGCTGTAATATGTAATTTCACTGTACAAACATATGGATGGTGAAACATGAAATATGAAAGATAAACACGATGAAGAATATCCGCGGGCATGTTACAATGAGTGGAATAGTTTAAAGATATCAAACACACAAATAAACAATCCTGAAAAACAAATAGATCAAAGGATTTATACATATTGTCCCCAATCTATTCGTCAGGTTTATTAGTGTATCGGGACAATAGCCATAACCTTCAATTATTTGTTTAACATTTCACGCTTTGAAAGAAACACAATAGGATGTCTCAAACAAAATGGAACAGATTTCCAAACACTATACCAACCTCAAATCATCCTTCATGACAATGGCGACACGACAACTCACGACATCTTGTTAATCCTCAAGCCCTTTTATCAATTTTTCAGATTTATCTTCCACAACAGCACGCGATTGATTAGCCATTCGGAAGATCAGCTTTCGTATAAAATTAAATTATCGCTAAATGTTTAATATGGGACGCTGTGCTTCAAACACAAGGTACCGACAAGAAAAACAATCGACGTCCATCCCATTGTCCGTGAATACCTTGTCATTATAAGTAGCCACCACTGGACAATGAAAACATTTTTTTATTCTTTGCCTCTGGCCTTTATTTAGCTGTCCGTGGGGTATTGATTGGTCATTGGGGCAGTGGAATGAAGACCCCTTTTTAATAACCCCAGGTTTTGTTTCATGCGTTGTCTATACACGGTAAGGGTCCTGTGAATGTAACATGCTGCCCCGAATATGTGTACAAAAGTGCGTAGTATATGTAGATTTAGTCATATGACGTGTAACAGTATCAGCTTCCAAACAGAAGGGAACATCTCAAAAGACAATAAATGCGAGGACATATTTGAATTAGACAAAATAGTTAATCGCATACTTTATCCAAAAGAAATTACTATTTATCCAACGTAAGTTGAATAAAAGTTTTCAATTCATTATTTCTAGATGTGAATATATGATAAATATACTATCATATTTGATTGGAGAGGGCAGTGGGGAAGCCTAGTGGTTATAGCATTCGCCAGTCACGCCGAAGACTCCGGTTCGATTCCTTACGTGGGTACTGTATCAAGCCCATATCTGGACCCTCTTCATCCCCCCCCCCCCACACACACACACACACACCACCACCACCCACACCCACACCACCCACACAAACACCCATCCTCTCCCAAACCAAACCCGCTGTGGTGTTGCTGGAATTTGGCTACAGGCGGCGTAAAACCATACTCCGTGAATATGATGCTTTCCACTTTTCTATGACCATACCATTCTATTTATAAACGTTATCGCAAAACGCAAATATTCTTTAGGTATCTACCTATGATGCAATAAAAATGCGATAAAAGGTGTACGTCTTTATGTTCTTTTGCGACAAATCAGATATAGGTATACTGCAAACATATTATTTACACGCCATCACAGAGATAAGTAAATGTTTGATGCAATATTCAAAGGACTAACCTCTTTCTTACACAAAGTGCTCATGGGTGACCGAGCCGTGTAAGACGCAAATATTCGTTGTGCAGAGTTTGCCATGTCAGGAACATTAGTGGTTCGAACCCCGGTTTGTTTTAAACATATTTTATTCATTCAAGAAAAGGATTGGGCACAAGTTATCCAACTTATAAAAGCCCTCTCCCGAGTTTAACACTGGTGATACAATCTTTTGCTGACTTTCATGTCACCTTGGTTCTTCAAACAGTCAGACGCCGTTGTGTCAAACGTTGATGTGCCGAATGTATGGTTATCTCGAAGTAAATTTGTCCCTGCATATTCCTATTTGTTCATCAAGTTTGGGTTGATAACCTCTGATAACTACTCATTTACGTAGGTGAGTGAGTGAGTTTAGTTTTACGCCGCACTCAGCAATATTCCAGCTATATGGCGGTGGTCTGTAAATAATCGAGTCTGGACCAGACAATCCAGTGAGCAACAGCATGAGCATCGATCTGCGCAATTGGGAACCGATGACATACCGGTATGTCAACCAAGCCAGCCAATCCCGTTAGTCGCCTCGTGCGACAAGCATGGGTTACTGAAGGTTCATTCTAACCCGGACTTTCAGGGGTCATTTACGTAGGTAGCTTCAACTTCGACAGACCCGTGAAGATCAGGGTTAGAATTTGTATAAGTAAAGTTACCCATTTACCACCCTGAAGGCTTAGTAATAGAGAACCCGGGAACATCCGGGTTAGAACTGGTCTCTGCAACCCGTGCTTATCGTAAGAGTGAGTAGGTTTAGTTGTACACCGCGTATATCAATATTCCAGCAATATCACGACGGGGGACACCAGAAATGGGCTTCACACATTGTACCCATGTGGGGAATCAAACGCTTGTCGTACGAGGCGACTAACGGGATTGAGTGGTCAGGTTCACTGACTAGGTTGACACATGACATCGTATCCCAGTTGCGTAGATCGATGTTCATGATGTTGGTCACTGGACTGTCTGGTTTGTTTGTACGTAGATCCAAATACAGATGAGCGGTCTCACCGGTTGTTTTTATTTGTAGCTCAGTTGGGTAAATCAGTGGGAGGAAACTTGCTGTTAAGGAACAACTGATCGACCATCAGAAACTCAACACACCAAAAACCAATGTTAAAATTCTTGGTAAAAGTTTGATTCAAGGAAAGAGGTTTTCACCAACCTTGAGTGTGGAATTATATTATTCAATGTTTGAAAAAAATAATGTGCTTTGAGAAAATCAATTACAACGACACAATTAAACAGTAAGAATGTTGTCTATATTTCAAAGGCGTGTATGTCACGCAGGGACATGCATTATGACCATATGTTTTCACTAAAATGGACCATTATGCTGTTACTCGTATGAATGTTCTTTCAACATAAACCAAGCATGTGTTTTCACGACTGTTTCCTGTCTCGTGGTTAAACATTACCACTACAAGGATAGCAAGAAAGTACATACTTTGTGAATTATAAGTAAGACAAATATTTAAAATAACAGAAGAAGTTTTCATATCATTGTACCATTTGTCACTACTAGCCTTTGACGGTTCCATTTACATACAAAAAAAAGTAACAGAAATTTCAATTATTTAGTTTGACGGGGTGGTAAAAGACCAATGGTAATAGCCTCTTGTTGTCAAACACTTTTCATGAAACTTGATGACTATACACATGTCCAAGTACTTGACAGATGTACGCTTCATTCATAATTATCTATCTTTGAATCCTTTTGATACATTCCCTGTGTCTTCTCGATTTTATTTTCACATGATTGGTCAGTTCTGGCAGCTGTGGTGTGCGGTCAGTATGGACACGGGGCAGTCAGTACCCGGCATTGTATCGACTGACGGACGGAACATCTGGCCTCTCGGGCAATCAAACAACTGTGATCATACAGGGTGTTGGGGGTAATTGTTGCCACACGACAAGCACGAGACCTCCTTGTGACCTCAAACCACCTGCCCAAAAACCCAGGGTAGACTGGGTAGATAGAGAGTAGGTGGATTATAGTAAACGCTGTAAAGCGATATAGACAAATTGTTGGCAGATGGTCAAGGGGATTGAGCTTGTCGATCTGTCATGATCGTATAGACGAAATATAGACGTGAATAATGTACTCATTGTCAGATGTGTCAGGAATATGCTGAAAGCTACATTTTGTGATTATCGCTAATCTGACATCCGGGATACACCCACTGCTTGGAACACAATAGCTGGACGAATCGCCAGCCCGATTTTTAATGTCAGATGCTGGGCTTTGACCTGTAGGAATTACTGGAGGCACAACATCATCACCGGAAACAACCGCATATCCCCATCGTCATCAGAGTCTTAATTCGATAATCGATTTGCTGTGAAAAGAGCTTATTAGTTAAGCTGAAACATTACATTGATTACATTTTGGAGGACATTATCATGTATGCATCAATGATAAAAATATCCAGTGAAACTGTTTAAGTGCTCTCGTATTGTTTTCGGTTGAACAATATTCAAGTATTTATGACGGGTGCAATCTCGCTTTTTCGCAACTACCAAATGTTATCACTAATTGGTTATGACTTCTTAAAGTGGTTATGATTGAAAATACATAGTCAGAATCGTAAAATGGGCACAGCTATTTTTCATATTTGTAATGAATATGGAACGAGTTTTCTTCCTCTTGGTACATATTGATCTAAGATATGTCAAATATGAATCTAGCTATGTTAAATGGTAGTTAAAAAGTGTTCGCATACCTGTCTTTTAATAGGTATTAGAATAACTGATGTCGAATGTGTGTGTTATTCTGACAGTATGTATTTGTTCTCGTTGTGTATGTTTGTCGTGTATCGTCAACATCTTTTCACCTTCACAGCTGTGCTTGAACATCAAGTAGGTGCGCACTGCAAAACTCTTCACAGCGCCTGTAAAATAACCACGCTGAGTAGGAAACTCGATAAACCACCGTGATTGGCTGACTGGTCTGAGCATGCGCAGACTAAACATGCAGCAGCTGACGAGAAGATCCGTGACTGCATCCATTTTCATATTGTTCATCATAATGAAAAATGTTCCAGTGAGTTGATTAAGTCCTCATACACTTAAATAACAGACAAACTCCGGCAAAGATGGGGCGCAAAATGCGGTATTAACTTTCAGATGCACATTGATTTTAACGGAAAACATGAAGCTCAATTATGAAATGATAATTCACAGTTTTTCCCAATTACATGTTTTATATGATAGCCATGCAAAGCTATTTGTACAAAGACGCCAAAAGGAACCTGTTCACCAATGAAACGGTAGGCATTAGGCTTTGTTAACCGCCATCCTGTAAGGCAGGATGCAAGATCGGAAACTCATGACAATGCTTTCCCGCCAAAATAATTGTGGGCATGTAACAGTGTCGTCTGGTCTGCAGAATTTGTCAGAAGCCGACGATCTAGATCGATAAGAGGGCAATAGCTGGCTTTCGCCACCGGTGTCACATCGCCCAACAACAATCACACGTTAACTTGCGGGACATTTTTACTGATTTCCAATAACTGTGGAGAATATGCAGATGATATAGAAATCACGTTAGTTTGTCTTAGGGAGCTGAATAATCTTTGGTAGGATCTTGAGTTGCGATCGTCCAGGGGTCTAGTCTTTGGACAGTTTTAGCACAACGAACGTAGTTCAAAGTCTGTTATTGTCTGAATCAACCTCTATTGAAGTTCCGCTATGTATATAAAAGGGAAATTCATTTTTAAATAAAGTCGCACATCCTAAAATCACTAACTAGACATAAAATAGGAAACTTTACTTTTCTTTGTCAGACATTCGTAAAATCGTTTACTGAATATGATCATTATAAAACCAAATTGCGACAAATGACATATGTTTGCAACATGACTCATACTTTTAAAGAGACATGAGGTTGAATCTTTTGAAGGTTTTTATGCATACGTTATTTCTATTTATCTGCACGTTTGTTACATAAACGTATATAAGGAGCCTAACTATAAGTTTACGCGTCACTTATAAACAACAGCCTTAAACCAATAACGTCAGGGTCCTAATATTCCAATGAAACACTAACACAATGTTCGTCCCAATTAAGTCTCCAGACATTAAAGTCGATTTTCCTTCTACCGTAGAACGGTTCCTTCTCTATATCGTGAGTATAGCAATTGTTCGGTAACAATTTAGAAGTCCACATAAACGTAAGTTTTTCATGGCGTGGAAGCTTGATTTGGAAGATAAACGACGCAGGTTGTTTACCACTTTGGCGAAAACCAAAAGCACGAAGTGAATAACTGAAGTCAGTCCTTTGAGTCATTTACATTTTTATTGCATTGCGCGAAGAACGCTTAACCGCGAGTGCCATCGTTTACAATGATAAACGTTTGTAATAGTGCTCTGCCCCTTCACCCATAGGCAAGTCGTTCTGTCGCAGCCTGTTCCGGAAATTTATAGTTTATATTATTTGCAACAAAGATAACGCGCGAAACCGTTTAAATTATTTTTAGGTGTTTTGCTGATTTCGGAAGTTTTGTTGTTGTTTTTACAGCAAACTTACAAGTGCACATGCACTTACGAGATGACATGGTTAGTCGTTAAACTGTTTCTTTGCAATTTTTAGTTTCATTGAAGCGAATTTCACAGCATTAGACTTTCGAGAGCCGCCCTTCTACATACAATATATATAATGTAATGTTTATATTTATCATGTTTATCAATATGTTCTCGTTAAACGTAAATAAATGATTATGTTTACCTTGCATGTAACACTTTTCGAAATTTGACTTTCAACTTGTCATGAAATATTAACATTATCTACAAAATGACGTCAAATGGAAAACTTGATAGAGCTGTTTCCAAGGTTACCGTCGCCCCCAATCAGCCAGCTTACGGTGTGTGCAGTACAGGAACTAACACCACTACATGACACCTATCGTGCTTTCACTGATAGTGACGTTATTACGTAAGGATGGGAGATAACATACGCTCTCTTCTCATCCGTAATCAAAGCATAATAAGCCAACATTCTTGCATCGCCAGGTTTAATAGATGCTGAAGTAGATGGGTTGAATCCCATGGAACATGACATTGTCAATTTACCAACATCTGGTGAACGCAAGTATCTTACGTGCAGCTCGTTCCAAGCTTGAATCACTTCCATGCAGGTTAAAACGACTCTGCGAAACTGTTTTGTTGACAGATGGTTAGACAATAAAAGCGATGAAAACCTTCATATTTATAAGAACGGCCTGTTAAAGCTATCCGCTGTACGATTCCGATCAGTCTTGAGCATATTATGAATCACTCTCAAATGGGATGATATCAGGTGGTCGCACAAAAAGGCGAGTGTATCCAGCTCGGGTCACAAACACATGCAGAGGCAAAGCAGTTGTTCAGGTGAGGTCTTTCAGGACAACCTATTTGGCGAAATTCAGGAACACGTGTATGACAAACGGATGTGCGAAACGTAGAAACACACTCAAAGCGCATAGGTATTCGAATCCACGATCATAGGGTTCTGGCGTACCAAAGGGACGCAACTCTACACAGCCCTTGGCGGACATGGCCTTCCGTGCAATCCGTGCAATCCGTGCAACCATGTAGAGATCGTGATCATTGTCACTTCTGTAAGTAAGTAGTTTCAGACCTTTGGCTTGTGTTGTCATAGCTTATCGTTGTCCTCCAGAGATACGCTAGTCTTTACGCTCATTGCTCATAGCTTCATAAGTTATTATATGTGGTATTGGTAAATGAATCACTCATTCTATTCAATGTATAGAGTTAGATTGAACAATACTGGAGTTAGATATCACTAAAATTGTCGGATAGTGATAAAGCAGTCGTGTGTGGGCCATTTACAACGTTGACGCATCAGTGATAAACATTATTTCGGACGCAGTTTCCTATTTTGACTTGTATCATACGTTCCCCGGTTTTGCTTCAGGTGAAAAAAATTGACTTGCCCTTGCACGTGTTTCTGACGGACTCATCGGCTCAGGCCTGGTAACATCAGAATGTAATAAAACGATTATGATATTGTCGGATTGGAACAAAGGACTGTGAGTAGTAGAGGTGTCCTACAATTGTGGGAAGGTATTTTATCACTACAAGCATGAGCTGTGTAGACCAGCCAACAGCATGATGTGAAACAGGATAAAGCATTGAAAGGTGGGTGGTGATAAGCAAAGATAACATTATGGTTTTCGTGGACCAGTATTCAGCAGATAAAGAGACACAAAACATGTAGCAACTTTCACCATATATTGTCATCACCTACAACAATCATAACACTAAATACAGAATTTGCTTCTATGATTATTTCAAAAGCATTTTCAAACACTTTCACGAAATGTAGTAAATTCGTGAAATATTCATATGATATGAGTTAGGGGTCGCATTGAACATCGGAAAAAAGCATGTGTGGTGCGTAAACTTTTATAACGCGAAAACACATCACAGTCTCTTTAGACAAAGACAACAAAACGCTCTAACATGATGGAAACATTTTCATGTTCATTGTTCGTGTCACCTCCCGTGGTGACGATGTGCACAGGTGAACTGGGTGGATTCAGGCACATCCTCATCCCAGGCCCCAGCTGTGAGTTCCACCGTTTACGTGGTGGAAGGCCACAAAAACACATTGTACTCAACACGGGTTCCTGAACACCCGAGTCTTTCATGATACTGTAGTTAATGTGCCACAGTTGTTATTAAAGGTGTATTCCGTATGGTGTGATGAGTGGTGCGTTTACTACAGGTGTACTCGGTACAGTGTGATCAGAGGTACGTTTACTTACAGGTGTACTCGGTACAATGTGATGAGTAATGTGTTTACTACAGGTGTACTCCGTACAGTGTGATGAGTAGTGTGTTTACTACAGGTGTACTCGGTACAGTCTGATCAGAGGTACGTTTACTTACAGGTGTACTCGGTACAATGTGATGAGTAATGTGTTTACTACAGGTGTACTCCGTACAGTGTGATGAATATTGTGTTTACTACAGGTGTACTCCAAACAGTGTGATGAGGTGTGTGTTCACTACAGGTGTACTCCGTACAGTGTCATGAGCAGTGTGTTTACTACAGGTCTGTACTCCGTACAGTGTGATGAGTAATGTGTTTACTACAGGTGTACTCCGTACAGTGTGATGAGTAATGTGTTTACTAGATCTGTACTCCGTACAGTGTGATGAGTGATGTGTTTACTAGATCTGTACTTGGTACAGTGTGATGAGTGATGTGTTTTACTACAGATCTGTACTCGGTACAGTGTGATGAGTAATGTGTTTACTACAGGTGTACTCGGTACAGTGTGATGAGTAATGTGTTTACTACAGATCTGTACTCGGTACAGTGTGATGAGTAATGTGTTTACTAGAGGTGTACTCGGTACAGTGCTATGAGTGATGTGTTCACTACAGATCTGTACTCGGTACAGTGTGATGAGTATTGTGTTTACTACATCTGTACTTGGTACAGAGTGATGAGTATTGTGTTTACTACAGGTGTACCTGGTACAGAGTGATGAGCATTGTGTTTACTAGATCTGTACTTGGTACAGTGTGATGAGTGATTGTGTTTACTGATCTGTACTTGGTACAGTGTGATGAGCAGTGTGTTTACTACAGGTGTACTCCGTACAGAGTGATGAGTATTGTGTTTACTACAGGTGTACTTGGTACAGTGTGATGAGTAATGTGTTTACTACAGGTGTACTCAGTACAATGTGATGAGTATTGTGTTTACTACAGGTGTACCAGTACAGTGTGATGAGTATTGTGTTTACTACAGGTGTACTCCAAACAGTGTGATGAGTTGTGTGTTTACTACAGGTGTACTCGTACAGCGTGATGAGTATTGTGTTTACTACAGGTGTACTTGGTACAGAGTGATGAGTATTGTGTTTACTACAGGTGTACTTGGTACAGTGTGATGAGCAGTGTGTTTACTACAGGTTTACTCCGTACAGAGTGATGAGTATTGTGTTTACTACAGGTGTACTTGGTACAGTGTGATGAGATGAGTAATGTGTTTACTACAGGTGTACTCAGTACAATGTGATGAGTATTGTGTTTACTACTGGTGTACTCAGCACAGTGTGATGAGTATTGTGTTTACTACAGGTGTACTCCGAACAGCATGATGACTAATGTGTTTACTTCATCTGTACTCAGTACAGTGTGATGATTATTGTGTTTACTACAGGTGTACTCCAAACAGTGTGATGAGTTGTGTGTTTTATTACAGGTGTACTTTCCGTACAGTATGATGAGTGATTGTGTTTACTACAGGTGTACTCCGAACAGTATGATGACTAATGTGTTTACTACATCTGTACTCAGTACAGTGTGATGATTATTGTGTTTACTACAGGTGTACTCCAAACAGTGTGGTGAGTAATGTGTTTAATACAGGTGTACTCCATACAGAATGATGAGTAGTGTGTTTACTACAGGTGTACTCCGTACAGTGTGATGAGTAATGTGTTTACTACAGGTGTACTCCGTACAGTGATGAGTATTGTGTTTACTACAGGTGTACTTGGTACAATGTGATGAGTAATGTGTTTACTACAGGTGTACTCCGTACAGTGTGATGAGTAATGTGTTTACTACAGGTGTACTCCGTACAGTGTGATGAGTAATGTGTTTACTACAGGTGTAACTCCCTACAGTGATGAGTATTGTGTTTACTACAGGTGTACTTGGTACAATGTGATGAGTAATGTGTTTACTACAGGTGTACTCCGTACAGTGTGATGAGTAATGTGTTTACTACAGGTGTACTCCATATAGAGTGATGAGTAGTGTGTTTAATACAGGTGTACTTGGTACAGTGTGATGAGTATTGTGTTTACTACAGGTGTACTTGGTACAGTGTGATGAGTAATGTGTTTACTACAGGTGTACTCCGTACAGTGTGATGAGTAATGTGTTTCTACAGGTGTACTCCGTACAGTGTGATGAATAGTGTGTTTACTACAGGTGTACTCCCTACAGTGTCATGAGCAGTGTGTTTACTACAGGTGTACTCCGTACAGTGTGATGAGTAATGTGTTTACTATAGGTGTACTCCGTACAGTGCTATGAGTAATGTGTTTACTACAGCTGTACTCCGTACAGAGTGATGAGTATTGTGTTTACTACAGGTGTACTTGGTACAGTGTGATGAGTAATGTGTTTACTACAGGTGTACTTGGTACAGTGTGATGAGTAATGTGTTTACTACAGGTGTACTCCGTACAGTGTGATGAGTAATGTGTTTACTACAAGTCTACTCCGTACAGTGTGATGAGTAATGTGTTTACTACAGGTGTACTCCGTACAGTGCTATGAGTAATGTGTTCACTACAGGTGTACTCGGTACAGTGTGATGAGTATTGTGTTTACTACAGGTGTACTTGGTACAGAGTGATGAGTATTGTGTTTACTACAGGTGTACTTGGTACAGAGTGATGAGCATTGTGTTTACTACAGGTGTACTTGGTACAGTGTGATGAGTATTGTGTTTACTACAGGTGTACTTGGTACAGTGTGATGAGCAGTGTGTTTACTACAGGTGTACTCCGTACAGAGTGATGAGTATTGTGTTTACTACAGGTGTACTTGGTACAGTGTGATGAGTAATGTGTTTACTACAGGTGTACTCAGTACAATGTGATGAGTATTGTGTTTACTACAGGTGTACTCAGTACAGTGTGATGAGTATTGTGTTTACTACAGGTGTACTCCAAACAGTGTGATGAGTTGTGTGTTTACTACAGGTGTACTCCGTACAGTGTGATGAGTATTGTGTTTACTACAGGTGTACTTGGTACAGAGTGATGAGTATTGTGTTTACTACAGGTGTACTTGGTACAGTGTGATGAGCAGTGTGTTTACTACAGGTTTACTCCGTACAGAGTGATGAGTATTGTGTTTACTACAGGTGTACTTGGTACAGTGTGATGAGTAATGTGTTTACTACAGGTGTACTCAGTACAATGTGATGAGTATTGTGTTTACTACTGGTGTACTCAGTACAGTGTGATGAGTATTGTGTTTACTACAGGTGTACTCCGAACAGTATGATGACTAATGTGTTTACTTCATCTGTACTCAGTACAGTGTGATGATTATTGTGTTTACTACAGGTGTACTCCAAACAGTGTGATGAGTTGTGTGTTTATTACAGGTGTACTCCGTACAGTATGATGAGTATTGTGTTTACTACAGGTGTACTCCGAACAGTATGATGACTAATGTGTTTACTACATCTGTACTCAGTACAGTGTGATGATTATTGTGTTTACTACAGGTGTACTCCAAACAGTGTGGTGAGTAATGTGTTTAATACAGGTGTACTCCATACAGAATGATGAGTAGTGTGTTTACTACAGGTGTACTCCGTACAGTGTGATGAGTAATGTGTTTACTACAGGTGTACTCCGTACAGTGATGAGTATTGTGTTTACTACAGGTGTACTTGGTACAATGTGATGAGTAATGTGTTTACTACAGGTGTACTCCGTACAGTGTGATGAGTAGTGTGTTTACTACAGGTGTACTCCGTACAGTGTGATGAGTAATGTGTTTACTACAGGTGTACTCCCTACAGTGATGAGTATTGTGTTTACTACAGGTGTACTTGGTACAATGTGATGAGTAATGTGTTTACTACAGGTGTACTCCGTACAGTGTGATGAGTAATGTGTTTACTACAGGTGTACTCCATATAGAGTGATGAGTAGTGTGTTTAATACAGGTGTACTTGGTACAGTGTGATGAGTATTGTGTTTACTACAGGTGTACTTGGTACAGTGTGATGAGTAATGTGTTTACTACAGGTGTACTCCGTACAGTGTGATGAGTAATGTGTTTCTACAGGTGTACTCCGTACAGTGTGATGAATAGTGTGTTTACTACAGGTGTACTCCCTACAGTGTCATGAGCAGTGTGTTTACTACAGGTGTACTCCGTACAGTGTGATGAGTAATGTGTTTACTATAGGTGTACTCCGTACAGTGCTATGAGTAATATGTTTACTACAGGTGTACTTGGTACAGTGTGATGAGTAATGTGCTTACATAAGTGCACTCTGTGCAGTATGGAGAGTGGATTTAAAAAAGGTGACGATACAGGTGTACTGCTTGTAGTGTGATGAGTGGTGGGTTGAATACAGATGTACTCCGTACA